GACATGTTTACGACGCGCGTGTCTATAGGATGTCGTCGTCGGTGTTGGTCCACATGGACCTTGGCATCGTTCGAACGTGTGCATAGCTCCCTCGGCGAGGACCATTGAGGAGCATCTTGGAACATGTTCGAAACCAACGCACGACATCGAAAAATACACGGGAAGTGGACGTCCGAGCGATGACAAGGGACAGGCGGGGGTCGTGAACGTTGGGCGCGATGGTCTTCGACCCTAGCACCGCAACCCCCTGCACAACCCCCCCTCACCCTCACCCTCCTCATCGCCTCTTCTCTCTGTGGAGCGCGCCGCCCTTAGGCGAGTGGTGTGCCCGGAAGTGGTGCTACGTGGACCCGTGCTCCTGCAACCTCGCCGTCGCCCCCAGGGGGTCCAGTTACCTCAACGGCACCACGCACCTGGGGCGGCCCCTGCATTACTCGTACGCGGCCTGCGGCAACGAGGACGGGATGCAAGGAGAGAGGCAAGACGAGGAGGAGGAGGAGGTGGAGGAGATAGGACGGAGTGGGAGAGGAGGAGGACGAGGAGGAGGAGAAAGAGGAGGAGGAGGAGGAGGAGGAGGAAGGGAAGGAGAGGGACGGGAGTGGAAGGAAAGGGGGAGGGGAGGCACGGGGGAGGCTCAGCCCGGAACCCCTCCCACTCCTCCCCTCCACCCCTCCTACTCCTTTTCGCCCCCCTCCGTCCGCACCTCCTCCTCCCCCCCCTTTTCCTCCAGCCATGAGTTCGATCAAGTGCTGGCGGAGACCGACCTCTTTGCGGACGCGGTCCCATCGGGGCTTCGCGGCCCATGCCCCCATCACCCCGATTACATCGACGACGCTAGCGACCTACCTCGGCGTCGACCTCGACGCGTTCGCCTTTGGTGAGGGGCATGGACAGTAAAGACAACTCCCCTCGAAACTTCAGCCATGCCTCAGCAGCGTCGAGCATTGACGCGCCAACCAGCGGGCCGGCCGTCATCGTCCGCGCGCCCCCCCCCCCGCCGACACCCGCGGCGAAGGTTCCTTTGATGAGCGCCGCCCCTTCTGCTCGATGTTCCCCACGCCGACGGCGCCGATGCATCGCCGACGTCGCCGATGCATCGACGAGGCGACATCGGCGGTGCACTGGCGATGCGGCGCGGTCTTCCAACCCCCTTTCCCAGCCTGGGAGGCCTACACTCCTCGACCCGCTCGGCAACGTCGGGGGCCGCCTCGGCGACCAGCGGCGGCACCGCGAGGGGGGCCTCGGCGACCACCAGCCCGCCCACCACTGTCCATTCCAGGCGCGGGGACTTCGGCGAGAGGCACGGCCAGCCCCGAGCCACGCGCAGCAACGGCTGCTGGGGCGGATGCCACTCCCCGCGTCCTCGGCCCTGCCTCGGCAGCGTCGGGAGCCGCTGCCCAGCCAAGCGGAGGCGGCAGGCCAGCCAGGACTGCCCCCCCCCCGCTGCCGTCGCCGACCTCGCGGCCGCGACGCTCAGTGGAGACAGCTCGACCCGCCCTGCACCGCCCGCCGCAGACTGCCGCGGCCAGCGTCGTTGCACCCCCACGCCAGCGCGGCGGCGCATTGTCGCGCTGGAGGCGCGCAACCGCGGGCTCTGCGACACTCAGGAGGGAAAGAAACACACAGACACAATTCATCGTCGATTCCCCAGAAAATATGGGAAGATATGGGAAGTGGGGGGGGAAGACAGAAACCCAGAAGATATGGGAAAATATTAGGATTTCTGTGATTTGTGTGTATTTATTTCTGGCGCAGCTCACCTTTCTGTCTAGTGTTTCGTTGAGTTACTTGATCGGAATCTATGGCAGTGATGTCGGCCGCAATTGGCCTGGCTCCTCTGTTTCGGCAGGAGGCGCTGTACAGGTATTGCTGACTCGCCCTCTCCCTCCTTGCGTTCCTGTCCATGTCAGTGATGGTTGTAGGTTTTGCAGCGTTTCGGGCCACCTGGGATGCACCACCCATCGCCGTGGACCTCCTCTCCTGCGGCTGTTTTTTTGTGCTCGACTGGGGTGTCTCGGGTACGCAGCCAGATACTGGCCTGCCTGTTTGTTCCTCCCCTTCTTCTTTCGCTCCCCCTCGAACTGCGCATATGCTGTGGAGGTCCCAGCCGCTGGTCATTGTCGCGCGGCTCTGGCGATTTGCCTGTCGGGCTTTCGATGTATATGATTGTCCTGTGCGCTGCCCTTCCCAGCAAGGCAGGGCCTCGGGGTCCACCTCACGGGCACGGTGAGGTTGCCATGGGATTGTGTAGTGAGTTGTGATGCTCCAGTTGTGGCCGAGGCCCTCAGACCCCTGGAGGCTCCTGGGGCTCCTAATACGAGAAAAATGTGTGTGTATTTATTTGTGTGCTTGTGGGCCCCTTCAGACACCGCTGCGCGCCAGCAAACCGAGCGTAACTCGCCAGCCGACCGCATCCGCGTCTCCGAGGCCCGCCGTGGCCAACGCGCAGCCGCCTCCGCGGCCGCTCTGCCTGGCGCGAGCACCGCTGCGGCTGCGCCAAGCCGACCTCCCATCGAGGTCCCCCCAGCGCACCTGGAGGTCATTCGACTTCTCGTTCCCTCTCAGCGCACCAGCGCGTTCCCTCTCGCCCATCGAGGTCCCCCCAGCGCACCTGGAGGTCATTCGACCGTGGCGCGGAACCTCTCGTCCTGCCGCCCCGCTCCAGGCTTTCCCTGCGGACCCCCGCTCACGCCGCTGGACACCTCCTCCCAAACTGCAGCCGGACCGAAGTATAAAATCGAGGTCGGTCCGGGAAGGGTGCCCTCATGGCTTCCGTGTTTTGCTGGATGATCTCGTGCATCCTGGGGAGGGTACGCTCGGGTGTTCTGTTTGTTTTGGCCGACGGAGGGTCCCATGCGAAGGGAGGGCCCGGGCCGGAGGAAAGGCGCCACCCCGCCCCGCACCGTCCTCCACCTCAGGAGGAGGGCGGGGCTTCGGGGGCGAAGAAGGGCAGGGGAGAAGAAGGAGGAAATAGGAGGGAGGAGGGAGGAGGGAGAAGGGAGGAGGAGGAGGAGGAGGAGGAGGAGGAGGAGGAGGATAGGAGAGGAGGAGGCGGAAGAGGAGGAGGAGTGAGAGTGAGGAGGGAGAGGGAAGAGGAGGAGGGGGGGAGGGAGAAAGGGAGGGAGGAAGGGAGAGGCCAGAGGGAGGGAGGGAGAGGAGGAGGGAGGAGGGAGGAGGCAGAGGGAGGGAGAGGAGGGGAGGAGGATGAGGGAGGAGGAGGAGGAGTTGGAGTTGGAGTTGGAGGAGGAGGAGAAGGGGCGGAGGAAGAGGGGGAGGTGTTGGTTGGTTGGTTGGTGTCCTCCCAGCGAGGCGGCATTGTGGGGGCGCTGGCACGGCCCCTGTAGCAGAGGGCAGCAGGGCCGGAGGACGGCAACTGCCGCGACCCCGCAGCGTCCACTCAGGGGAAGGTAAGACACCGCCTGCAGGGCCAGAGGAAGAGGAGGACGTTCTTGCGGCGGAGGAGCAGGCTAGAGGGCTAGGAGGAGGAGGAGGAGGAGGAGGAGGAGGTTTTTCTAGCCTGGTTCCGACGCGTGCCTTTCCAGAACCCCGGCGGGCGGGGCCGACCTCCCCGGGAGGGGCCGCTCTGCCCTCGCGTGCCGGGGCGGCGGGCGCGCGACCTGTCGGCGGCCTGCCCCCAGCTGCGCCCGCTCGGTGCGACAGCTCTCCGCAGGCCTGCGCGCGGGGCTGCCCTGCCCGGGCTGCGTGCCGCCGGCCCGCCGCGCGGCACGTTTCCTCCTCCTCCTCCTCCTCCTCCTCCTCCTCCTCCTCCTCCGTAGCCATTTTGGCTCAAGATGATTTCGCCCCGTGGCAGAGCACGGAGACCCTTGGTCCAGGGACAGCTAAGGACACGCTTTCATATCCTCGCCTTCCTGCTGCCCAGCGGGTTGAGCTTCATATTTGGTGCTGCATCCGCCTGCAGACACCTTCACGCGCGATTCGCAGAGGCTGGCGCGGGCCTCAGATCGCCGACGTCGCCGACATGGGTCCTCCTGGAGACTGCCTGGCCAGCGCTGCATCGACCCCTCGTGACGGAGCCACCGACCCAGTCAAGCGACAACAAGACCCATGGCATGACAGCGCATCCAAACTCGCAGTTCACGACCTCCCAGCACACGTTCGGAAGCAGCTCGAGGAGACCATGGCCGCCCAGATCAAAGACGCCACCGAAAAGTTCGAGGCCACAGCCAAGGCAGTCACAGCAAAGGCCAGCTCAGAGTTTCTTGCCTCACTCACGCAGATCACGTCCGACCTCAGCAGACGTCACGAAGCCACAGAACGAGACATCACTGCAGTCAAGCTCCGCACCAATGTCCTGGAAGAGCAGAACTCCGAACTCAAGGCCGCCGTCGCCAAGTTGGAGTCCATCATCACAGCAGCAGAAGCACGCGCCCCCGCCCTCAACCTGGACGGCTTGGGCAGCTGGGACCGCGACCCCGACATCACCACCTTCTGGTGCAGCAGCCCGCAGGAGTTCGGTCAGCAACACCTTGAAAAAGCTCTCACCCCATGGTTCCAGGCCGCCAACATCAAGAAGGACATGGTCATCTTCAACACGGTCGGCCCTTCCAAGCGCCACTCGTTTCAGGTCAGCGGTGGCACAGTGGTGGCGGAACCTCGGGCACAACGTCTTCATAATGCTTTGCGCAATGGAAAGGATTGGCGCACATTCACTCTCGATTTTGGTAATGACAAATACGTTCCTCTATATGTCTCCGCCGACAAGAGCCCGAAGGCCGTCCGCACGGAGGTCCAGATCAAGCGCCTCGCCAAGATCATGCAGAACGTCAAGCCAGACATCGATGCTCGCACACGCAGAACCCTGGGCTACATATCGTGCCGCGGCGAAGCTATGGTTCGCCTTACTGTTGGCAGCAATGCTGATGTACCTACTAAGCTCCAGTGGTCACAGGCTGCCAACAGACATGGGATTTCCGAAGACGACCAGAAGCAGATCGCTGCCGAGTTCATCAGCAACTTCGCAGACCCCCTCTCCGCCGCACAGTGGCTTTAGCCTTCGGTGGAGCCCATGGCTCCTGAAGCCCTCTCAGGAGGGCCTGAACATCGCCTTCTGGAACACGCAAGCGTTTCTTGGACACTCCGCCCTACGTCGCGCCGACAAACGACAGCAATTTTTACCATATTTTCGCCAACGAGCTCTGATCGCAGCGCAAGAGACTCATGGGACCCTGGACGACCTCAAGCTGCTGGCGAACTCTACCCAGCATCGGCACAAAGCTTTTCACTCGCCCGTGATGGTTAACGGCGCGCCCGTGACTAACGCTGGCGGCATTGGCTTCCTCGTTCCCTACGACAAGGCAGAGCTTCAACTTCCTCCAGACGAACGGCCTCAGCTCAGGTTCGAGGTCGTCATCCCTGGCCGAGCCGCCTGGCTTCGGACCACGGATGCCAGCCTCCAGAACGAAGTCACTGTCCTTAACATTCACAACTTCGGCTTGAC